TGGATGCTCTGAGTGCTCTGGCCGCATGATTTCACACTTGTCTCCCAGTAAGCTCTGGATGCTCTGAGTTCTCTGGCCGCATGATTTCACACTTGTCTCCCACATGTCTTAGCCCTATGTCACAACCTGGATCCATAAATTTCATGTTTTAGCCCTTGTACGGCGTCCCATTGTAAAGTCAATGAAGAGCAGAATTTTAATGCTTTCCCTTTGAATCTTGTATGTGCGTCTACATGGTGGACTATAGTTTTCTTCCTCTAGGAAATACTGCTGGCCATATTGTTCGGAGATCTCATTTTTGAACATTGCTCTGTTTGGGGTCTACGCTGGTATAATTTGTTTTTTTCTCCTGCTTTAAAAGACTTCCCCTCTACTGGTTCCTGCAACCATCCGGGGATTGGGGTCCAGTCGGGGACATGACACAAAACCCAAACCTCGATATTATGTGTCCCCCAAAGAGGCTGCATAATATCATCATATCCCTCACATGGCAGCCATTGGCAGCCCAAAAGGACAAGGTACCATCCAAAGCAGTTCCTGCCAGGCTTCGGCGAAGGGGCTGAAAAAGGCGGAGCCTTTGCCACCAGAGGCACCTCTGGCAGAGAGCACTAGCAAGAGAGCTTGGCAGCTGGCGCGGCAAAATGGTCGTGACCTGGGCTGCAGTCGTGGGCGGTGTCGACAGACAGGCGAAATGCAGAGAGGGAGACAGCTGTAGAGGTAAGGGTGTCGAGGAACCTATACAATTAAAAAACACTCACCAAAATGGCCTTGGATGTAGTTTACAGTAGTGATCTGAATCGAGCTTTCTTGGGGGAATGTTATATTCGTATTAATAGGGGGCCGCCCGCTGGCATTGTTTCTTTTTGGGATGTTTTTCCCCAAACAGTTTACTGTTAGGGGTTCTCAATTCTTTCTTAAGATGTGTCCGCCCTTTCTGTCACTGCTGGTGTCCGCCCTTTTCCGCTGGCCATGTAGCATTTCTATTCATTTGTCTCCCAGGTCGGTCATTTGTGGTCTCCGCCCTTTTGCGCTGGCCATGCAGCATTTCTATTCATTTGTCTCCCAGGTCTGTCACTGGTGGTGTCCGCCCTTTTCTGCTGGCCATGTAGCATTTCTATTCATTTGTCTCCCAGGTCTCTCACTGCTGGTGTCCTTTTTCGTTGGCCATGTAGCATTTCTATTCACTTGTCCCCCAGGTCTGTCACTGCTGGTGTTCGCCCTTTTCCGCTGGCCATGCAGAATTTCTATTCATTTGTCTCCCAGGTCTGTCACTGCTGGTGTCCGCCCTTTTCCGCTGGCCATGCAGAATTTCTATTCATTTGTTTCCCAGGTCTGTCACTGCTGGTGTCCGCCCTTTTCCGTTGGCCATGTAGCATTTCTATTCATTTGTCTCCCAGGTCTGTCACTGGTGGTGTCCGCCCTCTTCCGCTGGCCATGTAGCATTTCTATTCATTTGTCTCCCAGGTCTGTTGCTGGTGATGTCCGCCCTTTTCCGCTGGCCTGTAGCATTTCTATTCATTTGTCTCCCAGGTCTGTTGCTGGTGATGTCCGCCCTTTTCCGCTGGCCTGTAGCATTTCTATTCATTTGTCTCCCAGGTCTGTCACTGCTGGTGTCCGCCCTTTTCCGCTGGCCATGAAACATTTCTATTCATTTGTCTCCCAGGTCTGTCACTGGTGGTGTCCGCCCCTTTCCGCTGGCCATGTAGCATTTCTATTCATTTGTCTCCCAGGTCTGTCACTGCCGGTGTCCGCCCTTTTCCGCTGGCCATGTACCTTTTCTATTCATTTGTCTCCCAGGTCTGTCGCTGCTGGTGTCCGCCCTTTTCCGTTGGCCATGCAGCATTTCTATTCATTTGTCTCCCAGGTCTGTCACTGCTGGTGTGTCACTGTGTCCGTCTTGTCTCCCTTCTGTTTCCTTTTGTCTCCCTTCTTGTCTCCCGTGTTGTCCCCCTTCTTGTTGGTCATTGTGTCCGCTTTGTCTTCATTCTTGTCTCCCTGTGTCTCCGGTCTTGTCTCCCTTCTTGTTGGTCAGTGTGTCCGCCTTGTCTCTTTTCTGTCTCCCTTTGTCTCCGGTCTTGTCTCCCTTCTTGTTGGTCAGTGTGTCCGTCTTGTCTCCCTCTGTTTCCTTGTTGTCTCCCTTCTTGTTGGTCATTGTGTCTGTCTTGTCTCCCTTTTTTTCCTTTCGTCTGCCTTCTTGTCTCTCTTCATTGTGTCTGCCTTGTCTCCCTTCTTGTCTCCCTTTGTCTCCAGTCTTGTCTCACTTCTTGTTAGTCACTGTGTCCGTCTTGTCTCCCTTCTTTTCCCTTCTTGTCTCCCTTGTTGTCTCCCTTCTTGTTGGTCATTGTGTCCGCCTTGTCTTCCTTCTTGTCTCCCTTTGTCTCCCTTCTTGTTCGTCATTGTGTCCGTCTTGTCTCCCTTCTCTTGCCTTTGTCTCCCTTCTTGTTTGTCATTGTGTTCGTCTTGTCTTTCCTTTTGTCTCCCTTCTTGTTGGGTATTGTGTCCGCCTTGTCTTTCTTTCTGTTCCTTTTGTCTCCCTTCTTGTCTTCCTTCTTGTTGGTCACTGTGTCCACCTTGTCTCCCTTCTTGTTGATGTCTCAAAAAGTGGACTTGGGAATGCTTCGTTGTTGTCTAGTCTAACCTGTTTGGGGTCTACAGTGGTGTAAGTTTTGGCCAACCAGCCAACCAACCCACCCACCCACCAACCAACCCACCAACCCACCAACCAACCAACCAACCAACCAACCAAAACAATCCAACCAACCAACCAACCAAAACAATCCATCCAACTAACCAACCAACCAAAACCAACCAAAGCCAACCAGCCAGCCAACCAACCAACCAGCCAACCAGCCAACCAACCAACCAACCAGTCAACCCACCAACCAACCGTCCGACCAACAAACCAGCAAACCAGCAAACCAACCAACAAACCACCAACAAACCACCAACAAACCAACCAACAAACCACCAACAAACCACCAACAAACCAACAGCAACCAAGAACAACCAACAACAACTAGCACCAACAACCCACAACGACAACCAACAACCACAACTACAACTTCAATGACAACAGCAACAAGAAGAACAACAAGAACAATAACACATCAAAAATAATAAACAACAACAACAACTACTACTACTACGACGACGACTACTACTACTACTACTCCTGCTACGACGACGACGACTACTACTACTAATACTCCTACTCTGCCACTTACAACAGCAACAACAACAACAACTACTACTCCTACTACTACTACTACTACTGCTACGACTAATGCTAGTCACTGCTACTGCTACTGCCACAGCCACCACAGCCACCACAACAGCAACAACTGCTGCTGCTGCTGCTGCTGCTACTTCTACTACTTTTGCTTGCCGAGCCCGTAGCTACACAGCCAGCCAGCCGGCAAAGAAATAACAGACCAGGTTGCTCGCCGGGTGCGCGACTTCTTCCTGCAGTTTTTTTGGCTCGCATGTTCTGACTCGAACTCTGCTCCGCCACGGCCAGGTGAGGATGCCGCGCAGAGGGCCACGAAGCAGAAGCAGGCCATGCAAGAGGAGACCGATGAACCGATCGAGAGATCCGAGGCCGAGGAGGTAACCCGAGACGAGTGGCGCACGCGGCGCACGCGCCCGAGATCCCGACAGAGCAGCCGAGATCCGCGGCTCCAGTCTTTGGGGTGATTTCGGGAGGGAAAGCTTAGGGTTGCCAGCTGCCAACTTGGCGGTTGCAGTGAAAACCATTGAACACCATTTATCGCTGTCACTGCTTGAGGAGGGGCTTTTCTGAACCAGAACAATCCACCTTCACTGGTGTGTTTCACAGGGTCGGGCAGGTCCGAAACAGGTCCACCAGGCTAGCGCTTGCAGACACACCCACACACAGGCCCAAGTACCATGTTTGGGAACACCATGGAACACCCACGTCTTGCGAAGGATCCATGCCGGAGGTTGCTGACCTACCTGTTTCCCTCCAACAACAGCACACACACATAAGATTATACTATGAACATAATACTAGATATATAAAATAGACCGACATGGTCGACACCACAACATTTCTGGTCCCACCGTGTCACTTGTTCACACTTCGCTCCGTCCCGAGGATCCGGAGAAGCCGCCTCGCCGGCGGCGCGGCTCCGGAGGATGGTGGGAGAGCAGCGAGCCGCACCAGGCACGCCAGGCGCCGAGGTCACGGCAGAAGGGGTGGATGGAGGAGCAGGAGGAAGCGCTGGAAGGACGTCTGAGCGCCGAAAAATTGCACAAGCTGGAGCCTGGGCGGCTCACAATTTGGACACAATTGGAGGTGTTTAGCTTGTGACCACTGGTGTTTTTGCAGCCGATCCCCGAAGGCTACCACTGGCTTTAGCTCAAATTATCGGCTAGAATTGTACCCAAGATTCCAAATCACATCCCTAAACTCCCCCAAAAATTATCGCCCCTCCTGTAAGTATAGTCCCCCCTGTTAAGCCAGGCCCTGAGCCCTGTCAAAGTAGGCCCCCTGGAGACGGTCCACGCGTGTAGAATCAGGTCAAAAAAGGGTCTTGGTGGGATGCGGACATAGGTCTGGCTAACCCCACCCACCCACCCACCCACCCACCCAAAGCGTGCATGTTTTTTGTTTTGTTTTGGGGGGGGTCATGCTTGCCAAAAAGAATCGCTGTCATTTACCATGAAGGCGAGACTCTTTACGAGATAGTGAAGAGAATTGGTCTGATAGAGGTCTGTGAGTATAAAGAACGTAAATGTATTCTGTACCGACCGGACTTGCTCTACATACGACCATGGGAAATGCATGAAGTGGTCGACCAGCTACATGGGACTTGTTTCATTTTAGAGTTCCAACAAAGAGAGACTACTGACTGCCAGATTGATGAAACTTCATTCATGCAGCGTAGAGAGCAGGTCAGCCAGTTGAATGCCTTCCTGAATCGCATTAGAGGAGACTTTCATGAAGTAACGGTCTGGACGCATCCGGAATCAAAAGTCGACACTTACCAAGAGACTGCAAAGATATACCACATAGGACGAAACCCGTCCCGAGAGTTTGAAAAAAAGGCATGTTCTCAGATCACGAGTGAGATAGGGTGCCGAGCCTTTGTGGTTGAACCGATGCCTTTTTTTGCACGGCAATTTCGACCAACTGTGATAGCTACAGATGCACCGATGGAATATCGCCGGATTTTCCTGGTTGAGTCCCATCTCCTTGAGACCATTAGTCTGGGAACGGTGCTTTAAGTGCACATTTTGAGCCACTATCAACTGCTCGTCTCTTCGAAATTGTGCAGCCAGGGAATGGATGCGCAAGAGGCAGCGAATGTTTTGTTGAATTGCGACATAGGCATTACGAATATCACCATGACATTCTCCTATTTGATGGAGACCATATCCGAATGTTTGAAAGGCCTATGGATGAAACAAACACTAGTAGCACTAGTTGTGGAACGGAGTATTCACAGGCCGATAGCCAAGAGCCTTCGCAAGCTACTAACTTGATCGATTCGTCCTGGGCAGAAATTAGCAATGTCGATGTGGATGATTTATTGGATCCAGAAAGTGAGGACACTAATTCGCTATTCCAGGAAATTGTCCATGTGCGGCAATCGACACGTGCACCAATTGTGATGCCGCAGGACCATGAGGTTAACGCCTTATGGCGAAATCTGCAGTGGCACGAAGACGTGCAAAGAGCTAATACAGCCACTTTTGTCTACGGCTATGAGCACCTCCAACTTGAAGCCAGGGCATTCTTCAGATCAAGAGGCAGTTGGCCACGATTCACCTTGATTGGTCAAGAGCCGATAGCCATTGACTTCTGGGATGTCGGTGTGGATGAGCACTTTGTGCTCACACAGCGGGAATTGGTGGCAGTACTGCGTGGGTTCCTTGCTCCATGGCTCCCGATTCACACGGGACTCAAGATGGCGGTGGTCTGGCCTCTGGTTGTACCAGAAGAACAAGATGGAGAAGAGAACATATATATAGTGTTGGGGCCACGAGAACGGACGCCAGAGCTTTCAATGGTCTATGTAGTGGGATGGCATGTTGGAGAAGAAAAACCCTTCCTGGGGAATCTTGTTGGCTTGCCAGAAACCCTACAGACGACTGATCTGATCGAACTTGTACATCTGACAGATGTTTGTCTCGATCCGGACTACGAATGCTCTGTCCAGTACAATTATCGTGAATTGCCTCTATTTGTGCATTGGAGGCCTTTCCAGGGCATGAAGATTCATATTTTTGTCCGATATGAGGGGCCCCGTTGTACTCGACAGGAAGATGATACTTTTGCCGATGAGGAGGTCACTTCTATGATGCAAAGCCAAAGAACATCGACATGGACTGGATTGAAGAGACTGTCCCATTTTCTGCAGCCATGGGAGACCTGGAGATGGGCAATTCCATTCCCGCCTGAAAGCAGCTACGTGTTGCGAACCCCAGATACTGTACGAGGACAGCTTTCTAGTATTCTGTCGCATGAGTCAAGATCCACCATTGATTGTACCTTTTGGGTCATCGGCCTGCAAGGAGTTCCCACCAGACTTGATCAAGAGCTCGCGACTGATAGCTGGACTGAGGCATTCCGTAACATAGCGGTGCATACTGCAAGTGACCAGGTGAGATTTGTGCTTGTGGCCCGGCAACCACGTGGGGAGCCTAAGTACCAGTTCCTGGTCCTGCCAAAAGATTTGTTCTATAGTGGAACCAGATATTTTCTATTTGATGATTGCACGACTGATCAGACTCATCGATCGGTGATTGCATGCGCCGACCCATGCAGAACAGAAGATCTCGTAGGGGCTGCTGCCAGACAAACAGGTGTCTTTGAATCCAATGCTGTCTTCGGCGCTACGCCGAGGGATACAGAAAGACTGTTTCCTGGACAAGAGATCAATCTACCAACTGGGACGTATATTTGGATTGAACCAAGGCCCGAAGAACAGCTCTGTGTCATGCCGATCCAAGACCAACTTTGTCTAGAAGATGAGACATCTCTCATGCAGAGGCATCATACTCTGACTTTTGACCTCAGGGAAATATTGCCAGCTCTGCGAGCCAAGTATGGAAGCCCAGAACCTCCCGGCCAACCCCAAGTCATACATCTGGTATATGGAAGCGAAGATATAGTCCGCGACGAGCTGCACCGACTGGAGCCTTCATGTCTTCAAGATGCAATTATATTCCAGAACTGGCTTCTACAGCGGCTGCCCCGGACATACGGCCCAAAAGCAAGATGCTTCCGCACGCAGTACCAGCTGGTGCCAGAGGCTGAGCTCCTGATCCTTACTGACCGGGACCGTGCTGGAAGGATTCCAACATATGTGATTGCTCGTTTCGCTGATGAGCCTACCAGGAGGCATTTAACCTTCCGAGATTCAGTGGAACCAGTATGGCATCTAATTGGGCGCTTCAGTTGGACAAGAATGCAGGCACGGCAAGGAACAGACTTTGTCTATACAGTTGATGGGAGACAGGTTCCTGCTAGGCAGCCGCTTCGGATATCCCCTGCGCCTGTTGTTCTTCTACACCAGAGCCCATACACTGAAGATAATAGTGTTCCCGAGAGATCGGATTGCGAATTTGCCTCAGCGGCAAGCTCAAGCATTTCGTCATTCATGTCCTTCCCTCCGACAGATGAGATTCAAGATGACGAATTTGACCTCATGCAAAGAACGACAGCCCTTGCCGCAATACCGGAAGGATCACAGCCGAATCGAAGACAGGGCCAGCACTTGCCAAAGCCGTGCGCTGAAATTATCGTTTTTGATAGTTATCCGGGGGATGTCCTGCGAATTGCGTACTGTCGCTTTTATCTACGAGTGCCAAGAGTAATGGTGACCATTCAGACTTATCTCCATGCAAGGGGGGAAATGGCGGTTCGAACTGGTCGCATTGTCCAAATCTGGCCGTTCCAATCGTTTACAGGCCGTGTTTTTGAAGCATGGGGCCAAGATGAAAGATTTCCTTTCCAGGCAGTTTTCGTATATCCGACACCCATGACACGTATCAGGGAACAGAATGGCGCCTTCCTCCTCCTGCAACCAGCAGATGCAGTTGGGCAGCTTATATATGTCGAAGTTCACGATGTCCCATACCTTCGTGGTAGTGTGCTAGTTGACCCGGGTGATACGATCTGGTCAGCCTATGTCAAGATCGGCGGGTCGGCAAGAGAAGAAGCCACGAGGCTTCGAGCAAGGGACATGGCGGATCCACGAAGAGTCATGACAGCCCTTGAAACCCTTGGCTGCAGAGAAGGAGCTTATCTAGTGATCTACTTCGAGCGACGCCAGGCAAATGAATTGGGAGATCATTGTGACTTCGAGACACAGACAGAAGAGGATGATGAGCTGACTTTGATGCAAACCACTGGACACTGTGGCTTGGATGATGGACGGTCAGCTATATCATTGAGGCACATGGAATACTGCTCGGAAGAGCGCATCTCATGGGTGATGCCACTGAGAATCCACACCCAGGAGGACTCATTTGATAGTGGCGAAAGCAATTTCGACTATGCCTTTGCGCACTATGTACGTCATGGTCTCTATTTTGGTCGTCTTGCCATATCCGGCTGGCTCTTCCGAAATACAGGTCAACTCATAGGAGATCCATTCTCGTGGGGATTGCATGGACTAGCCCAATGGTCACAGCAACTCAAGAGCCTGGCCAGTGGGCTCCAAATTGGAGATATTATCCTCTATACAGTGATCCCGACCCCTCCTGAACTGCTGGAGGAACGGAGACAGCATGTACTCCAGCTGATCGTGCCATATGCTAATTTTCGCCATGCCCCTTTGATCCTTGTAGTCGAACATGTACTGTCTCCACCGCGGATTCGAAGGGCAGTTTCTTGCGCAGAACCCTGCTTTGTTGATAGCCTTTTTAGACTAGCGGGTCTCGCAGGTTGGTGCGATGATTTGCACATATGCACGGTCACCTTCATACATGGGGTATGCAGGCGAGATTTCACTGATCGAGATGTAGTCAGTCTGCCAATGGCATCACTGGTTAAGCTATCAGTGCAGAACCGTCCATATCATCCTTGCGAACACCGACCAAGGTCACAGATCGCGGGTTATCAAGATGGTCCAAGGGGCGCGACTGGGCGAGTCTATCCGCACGGTTCCCCACATTACCAGCGGACAGCTGGCCAGGCAGCGGAAGTGGCACAACCGCCTGTCGAAGGGGACTTTGAAGAAATCGATATCCATGCTTTGATGCAAGCCTCTAGTGCGTCCTCGTCAACGTCCTCAGAACATAGGTCTATCA